CCCCCCCCCCCCCCCCCCGCTCTCCCCCGGCGCCCGGGCAATGCCGCTCTCGGTCCTGCCGGTGGCCGCCTGGTGCGGCCGAGTCCTGGGCCACGCCTGGCAAGTGGACGAGGCGGTGGCCGCCGCGCCGGGGGCCGGGCCGCCGGCCGCCCGCACGGTGGTCCACCTGTACGTGGACTCCTTCGCCTACCAGGCGGTGGCCAGCTCCTGGGGCTGGCCCGGGTTCCTCAGCTCGCCGGGGCTCCTGCGCGGGGCCCTCCTGTCCGGGGTGTACTGCCTGGAGGGCCGGGGCCGGCTGAGCCCGCGGCTGGGCCCGGCTGACGGGCCGGCCCCGGCCGGGCCCCGGCCCGAGCCCGGCCCCGCCGAGGCGGATCTCGGCCAGCTGGACGGCCCGCAGGCGCAGCTGCTCTTCCTGGTGCGCGACCTGAAGTACCCGACGCTGGAGCACATCTCCGGGGTGGTGTTCTCGCGGCTGCGCCGGGGCACGGCCCGGGCCGGCGGCCGCCCCGGCCCGGGGGCCGCCTTCTCCTCGGTGCGCATCCTGTGCTGCCTGCGCAGCAGCCACCACTCGTACCAGACCGCGGGCCGGGCGCCGGCCGGGTCCCCGGGGCCCGGGGCCGACCGGCCGGGCCCCCCGCAGGAGCAGAACCTCCTGCGCTTCCGCGACGTGGCCCGGGTGCTGGCGGCCTCGATCGCCCGGGACCTGGACCCGGGGGCGGCCCTGCCCTCGGTGACGGTCGAGCACTGGCCGCTGTGCGTGTCGGCCATCGGCATGCGGGCGCCGCCGCCGGGGGCCGCCGCCATGGCCGCCATGGCCGCCGCCGCCGCCGCCGCCGCCGCCGCTCCCGCCCCGGGCTGGCTCTTTCACCTGCCGCTGCTGGCCGATGTTGGCCCGGAGCTGCTGCTCCGGCTGTGCCCGCAGGCCGACCGGCCGCTGGCGTCGGAGGTACGCCCGCGCCCGACCGCCCGGGGTCCCTTGTGCCCCGGCATGATGCTCATCCTCCGCCTGCGCCCGACGCCGGCCCCCCGCTGGTGTCTCTCTCTCCCTCTCCCTCTCCCTCTCTCTCTCACACACACGCACACGCACACACAATCGCATGTGCAACGCCCGGGCCAGATCGCCCTGCGCGCCGGCTTGGCGGTGTTCGACTGGTTCCGGTCGGCGGCGGCCTTCGGCCGGGCGGCCGCCACGCCCGGGCAGCCGGCCCCCCCGGCGGCCTCCATCGGGGCCATCCACGGCTTGGGCGACCTGGCCGGGCGCCAGGCGGCCCTGGTCCTGTCGCTCCTGCGCGATGGGGTCCCCTTGCCGACGGCGTCCTCGGTGGCCGAGGACCCGGCGCTGCTTGGGCGCCTGCGTGACTCGGCCCCGGCGCCGGGGCACTCGCCCGGCGCCGTGACCGTCCTGGTGGTGGACCGCGTGCGTGCCAAGCCCACACACCTACTTGCCCCTGGTTTGCCGTTGCTTGCCTTTCCTCGGGCCCTGTGCCCGGCTGTCCTGTGGCGCTGACACCGGCGCCGCGCCGCCCCCTTCTCCGCCGGCCCCGGCAGTCGGCCGACTGGAGCCCGGTCTTCGGGCCGGATCCCAGCCTCATCAGCCGGGCCCTGGCCTCGGTGTCGTCCATGGCCGGCCTGGAGCCCGTGGCCGGGCCGTCGCCCGACGCCGAGGACCCGGCGGCCGAGGGGCCCCAGGTCCTGGCCTTCCTCCAGCCCGGGCACTTCCCCCTGAGTGTGCCGGTCCTCCGGCCGGGGGGTGTGGCCCCGGGCGGGGCGCCGGCCCGGCTGGACGCCGCGCCCCCCCGGGCCGCCCTCTTCACCGGGCTGTCGGTGGCCGACTGCCTGGTGGACCTGCCCGGGCCCGGGTCCTCGGTGTCCCTGTGTGCGGTGCTGGCCCAGCCGGCCGCCACCACGCTGTCCTATGTGCTGGACAATCTGGCGCGCGCCTCCGGCGTGTCCCTGTCCAAGGTGCGTGTGGGGTGTCCTGTCTGGGCTGTCGGTGGGTGTTCTTTCGCCGCCTGGTGCCCGTGTCTGACTTGGGTTCCTGCGCCTCCTGCCTGTCCTTCCCCTTGCTGGCCATTTGCTGTTTGCTGCTCACTTGCTGTTCACTTGCTGTCTGTTGCTCACTTGCTGTTCACTTGCTGTCTGTTGCTCACTTGCTGTTTGTTTGTTGTCTGCTGCTCACTTGCTGTTTGTTTGTTGTCTGCTGCTCACTTACTGTTTGTTTGTTGTCTGCTGCTCACTTACTGTTTGTTTGTTGTCTGCTGCTCACTTACTG